TATATATATATATATATATTCTGATAAAAATCTTGTCATAAATAAATATTGAGATTACGTGGGGCATTAAATTTATTCAAAGATTCTCTCAGTTGGCCCATATTATATCATTTAATTTAATGACCTAAGAAACACAATACACAGCAGAGGTCAAATGTTTCCTTATCTACCAGCCTCTACCTTACAATTATATATATTTTCTCTTATAATTTGCAGCCACCATTCAGATAATTTATGATGGTTGCAACTATGATTAATTAATTGATTTTAATTTTTTTTTAAATTATGAAGGAACTAATTTTATATATGATATTTATTTATTTTTTTTTTTTTTTGAGAGGGGTGAACCCAAAAGATAATATGTATGATTCAAATCCGTGATCTCATGATGGGAGACTTCACTCTTAACCACTACATTATAATAGGATAAATATACTCTTATGACACACTAATTGAGGGAAAATGTTTGCGTAAGTAAGACGTACGTAAAGTTGTGTACGTCGGGAGGTTATTCAGAGAGTATATAAGGGTTATATTCGTGTTATACCCCACTGTAACCTCCCTATAACTTACAAATAAGTTATGTACTTCTGTATTTCCGATAGGTGCGGGTAAGTTACAGGAAAGTTACAAGGGGTATAATATGGATGTAATACCGTGTACCTTTTGAATAACCTCCGACGTACGCAGCGCTGCGCACGTCTTATGTACACAAATATTTTCCCTAATTGAGAACGTACTTTACCACAATGAGATCACAAATTCGAATCGAATGTAATCTTTTTGGCTCATTTTTCACAAAAAAAAATAAAATAATAATAATTAATTTAAAAAAGAATAATGAACTGCATTAATGGCAAAGATTTTCTCAATCACCATATACATATTTGATTTTAGTTTCTACTACAGCATTGTGCAAAGGGATAATTACATGCACAGCTCTCAAAGCATTATTATTTACAAAACTAGCATCCATGCTTTAGGGATAATTACATGCAACGCAGAAGAAACATTGCTGCTTCCAAATCAAATATTTAGGTGATCTTTTTTTAACTATGAAACTGATAAATTTACGAGTGTTACAGTTAAATCTTTGATATTTGAGTGAGAATTTGAAAAAAAGGATGAAAGAGAGTGTTTGATTTGTAAATATCAATGTTTTGGGTGCAACATCGGCCCTTTTTTTTCAATGCTATATTTTTAATCGATCGAGGCAACGTTGGATTCATGAAATTTCCCAGAATTCACTTACAATTCCAGTAACCGCAAGAATCTTGGGGCGGTGGATATATATAACCTGGAGCTGATGATGCATAATATGTTCCGAACGCCGGCATCGGCGGTGGATGATAGCCTACGTTCCCATCAAGTGGCGTAGAGAAATAAACATCCCGACTCAACACCGGGGGAGATACCGTCCGCTCAAACGCGGTATAATACCCGGTAGACGACGCTGGAGGAGGCGGCGGCGGCGGCGGAGGGTAATATATCGGTTGATGCGGCGGCGGAGGAGGGTAATATGTAGGTTGATGCGGCGGCAGCTGACTGCAATAACAGAAACATTCCTCCGGCCCTGCTTCAGGTAACGGTAAAGGCGGATAAAGAATATTCCCATGCGGCACCGGTGGAGGATTACAGTCATCAATCGGCGGTGCCAATGGAGGACTATCATCCTCAATCGGCAGCGCAGACGGAATCCCGGGAGCTAGCGGCGGCGGGGTCCGCGTCACTGTCTCCGGAAGGCTCCAGCTATAAGAGAAACTCAAGATGCCATTAGGCTTACCTTCGGGAGATCGAATCTGGTAACTCACGTGACGGACAACATCGGAAGGATGCCCTAAAGTTAGATCGGACAATGGAACGCGGGATTTACCGATGAGTTTGTCACCGAAGACAACGAGATTCCCCTGTGCCATGATTGCGAACTCAAGAAACGTATCCTGGAAATCGGTATCGTTGAGTTCCAATCGAATCGTTTGATCCCATTCCGGATTCTCACCGCCTTCATGATCGGCCGATGTCTTCTGCTTTTGCTGCTTTCGCTTCAGCCGGGCGTCCTTACCGGCGGAGATGGAGATGATCGCGTAAGTAGAGGGTTTCTGGAAGAGATTGAAGGATTTAACTCCTCGACAAGAGATGGATTTTAGAACTATCGATCTTCGATCCATCGCCGGCGCTCTATTTCAGGCGATCGTAGCAGCTATCTGGAGGTTTCTTCCAACTATATATTTGACCGAAGAGTTCAGCTGATGGTTATGGTGTCCGCAGAAGCATTATAAGATAGAAGATTGGCGAATGAGATAATGACACGAGACGGAGAGGCGCTTTTCTTCGTCTCTAAGCGACTTGCGAGTGCATATTGTTTTCTTAAAAACGTGTCTTCAAGGTACGCGCATTTTTGGACTTCTTCTTAGCATTATTTCCTCTTAATCATAGGGCTTTTACTGGGCCAAACCATGCAACCTAAAAAAACCAAAGCTAATATAAATATAGCCTTCATATATTTTTATAAATTTTCAATTTGATAAATTAATTATTTCAATAATATATACAAACACATACATAGATATATACACATATATATATATATATATATATATATCTGTATGAAATATTTGAAAAGACAAAAAAAACTATGAGTTTAAATCTAGATGAAGTGATATATTTTGTAAGTAAAATTAATGATTGTCATTTTTTTTTCTTAAATGGAAATGAGATTATAAAATAATAGATTTGAATTTAATGTCTTAAATATAATAGAGCTTGAAGTATTATAAGAATAATGATAATGATTGAGTGATAATGCTTAGAAGATAATAATTAGGAAGTGAGAGTCAGACAACAATCTAATGATGATGATAATATTTTGTGTTTGTTGACACAAATCTAGAGATAATTTTTTGAGCAAATAAAATTTAAACTTCAAATAAGAATTATCTAGAGTTTCAATTTCAGTAAATTTATAGTCAAACTGACTGACTTGATGAGACTGACCCAATGATATCAAAATTAGTCCAATCATTAGAAATTTTTTTAACATATTTAGAAAGTCAAACGAATCTTGAATTTAGCAATCCTATCGTCGAATCAAACGTCTCGACAAGACGAAGTCATCGAGTCCAAAATTGCTCAATTTCGACATTGTTAAGGCACTCAATTGTTCATCAAATGTCGTCTGATCGAAAGAAGCTCTCCGGACAGTACTATCAAAGTGATTCATAATCTTGTATTAATTGCACTTATAACACTATAAATAGAACCCAACTCCTCTCATGAGAGGGAGGAGAGCTTGAAGCTTGAGAAAGAATTTGAAGCTTTGAGAAGGTGCTGTAATCGTAGATCATTACCAACCACCGTTGACCACCGCTGATCGCCGTCAACCACCACCTACCGGCTTCTGCAGATCGCTATCCATTGCTGCCCATTTCTTACAACAAGTTCATTTGCACGTCGACGTTGAAATTTGAAAGACTTTATAACCATTTCTTACATGTGGGACAAGGGGTCTCTATAATAAACTTATAATAGATTTTTACAACTATGTTAGGTCTCGTGGTTTTTTCCCATTACGGGTTTTCCAAGTATGAGCTTATGGTGTCACTACTGGTGGTTTTCTTTTTTCTAAGTGTGTGCAAAATTCTCGTGCAATGCTAAAACGATAATCCATTACTCTACCACCGCAAATTTTCTGGCACAAATAAGTTGATATTCTACGATAAATGAAATTCCAGAGTTCATTAGATCTCCAAATGCTCTTAAATTTTAAATATTTATCCTCTGCATGTAGAAAATATAAATTTAATCATATTTTTTTAAGGGTGAAATTTTGATAAATTTAGCAAAAAGGTAGAACGACTTTATCAGACAACTCCTATTGATTACTTTAATTATAAATAAATTTTTAATATTGAAGTTAAAGATCTTAAAACTCAACAATCTTAAACTTGCTAAACTCCTTTACTCAATGCTTGATTTGATGGTTAGTACGTAAAATTTCAAGATTGCTGCTAAATCTTTCTAACCATACTATAAATGCATGATTTAGGCTTATTTTAGCTCAAATCATTGTTAGTGTTGTTATATTTGGCTTGCCAAGATATTTAATTTAACTATAAATTAACTAGAATAAACAATAAAATTGTTTTCAATTTGATTATAAATATTTCTTATTAAAAATACATAAAACCACGCTTAATTAGTATAATTAATTTTTGCTATATCATTTAACCATTATTTTTTTATAAATTTATAATTAAGAAAAAGAGGGTGACCAATCCTTGGAAGCAGGGCTGTCAAAACGGCTCGTTGTTCACAAACGCCTCACGTTCTACTCATTAAAAAGCTCGTGTACGATTCGTTCGCTAAATTAACAAGATGAACTTTTTTTTATGCTTGATATATAAACGAGATGAACATAAGCAAAGATTTATTCATTCGTGTTCGGCTCACAAGACTACAAAAATGTATAATCAATTAAAATTATTAATTAAAAAATGTAGAATAAAAATATATTAAATTATATTTAAATAATATTTTAATATAAACAATAATATTTAAATGTTACCACAACTCTTAACATCCTATGACTGCGTGATTAGGATTGTCAAAACAACTATATGTTCGCGAGCAACTCGTGTTCAGCTCGCTCAACAAACGAGCCGAACATGAACACACATTTGAGTTTGAAATATAAACGAGCAGAACACGAATAATGACATTTTTTAATGAACCGAACACGAGCGGAGTTTGAGCTTGTTTGTGTTACGCTATGGACCCGATAAAATTTGATTGAATATAATTTCAACTAATTTTAAAGTATTGGAACAAAAACATTATTAAAACATGAAAGCCCTCAAGTTTTTTCAAAATTATTTGCAGAGGTCAAAAGCACAAAAATTATTACACCTAACACCAAGTTATTGAACAACACCACAACATTGACTTCAAATTCCATCAAAACACATTGCAGAGCTTATTGACTGTCAACAAGCTTGAGGAACAACAACAATCACAAACAAGAAAACAGACTTCCAAAACTAGAATCTTGCATTACTTTGCCTTCTTTTTCTTATTCCCCCCTTCAAATGCTGAAATTATGTTCTTCCAGCTCCTGACTGCAATGAGGGTTGGGATGACAACCCAAACGCCGTTTGCGCCGACGTAATACGCCCAGTAGTACAAAGGGCCTGCGGTGAAGTTATCTCCATCCAGATATGACGTTGAAAAGTATATCATGCATCCATATAGCTGGCCCAGGCAGATGGCAAACTGGAGGATGTGGCTGTATGATTTCCTTGATGCTATTGCATATCTGCCATGCAAAACTTCAATGTAAGAATATGTATTTACATAAACACCATGTAGCTCCCATGTATTTACTTATCTAACAGCTAAACTTCAATTTTTACATACATGCCTCTGTAACTTATGCGTGAAAAGGTATTTATCATAACATTTATCCAAATACAAAATAGCGAAAAATGGTCGAAGATGAGCTTACACAACTAGGAGGCAAGCAGGACCCTCCACTGCAGAAGTAAATCCTTCAAGGGCAACAATTGTTGAATCTCTGCCAACATATCTTGAATCACCCTTACCATACTCTTTCC